GAATTAGGGCATAGGACACCCAAGAGCCTGCAGTGGACATTTGGGCCAGCAAACTGTATTTCAGGATGTGCAAACTGTATTCAAGAAAAAGAGCACTAAAAGCCAGTAGTAGTTGGCCACCTCTGATACAGGCCTTGAGCCCTCACGTTTTTAGAATCTGCCTCGCTTCCATTCCTCCTACCCAAGTTATCGACTGATATCCCTCAAATGTACTGCTGAGCTGACAGAATATCTTCTAGTTCCATCTCTAAGCAAACCTAAAACTGTAGAATACGTAGATGGAAGAAGGGGATCAGAAACTCCAGGGGTGTCATTCAGAGGAGCGAGGCGGAGTGTATCTGTACATCACCCTTGGAAGTGTGTCTGCTTTTCTCTTCCATCCATTTGCTGCCCTACTCACAGACATCTTCCCGGCAGGTGTATCCTGAGTTGCAGATCACTAACGCTGTGGAGGGGACGCAGCCAGTCACCATAGACAAGTGGTGCAAGAAGGGCCGATCGTCATGCAAAGGCCAGATGCACATTGTGGTACCCTACCAGTGCCTTGGTGAGCACAGAGTCCAGGCTGCCTGGACTTGCATCTCCAGTTGGGGATGATAAGAACTGCCTTTAAAATTGGGACTGCAATGATGTGTTGTTGTCGTTTTCCTTGTTCCTTCCATTCCCTTGTGGGCTGTGCCTCTAAAAGCGTCAGCTTGAAGGCAAGGACTGTCTTGCTCCTGATAATTGCATGGCCCTCTGGGAACCCTTTGGCAGATGGGGGCTCAAGAAAGATTAAAAATGAGTAGCGTAGACCAGTGTTTCTCGGCCTCACACTGGCTGGGGAATTCTGGGAGTTGAAGTCCACACATCTTAAAACTGCTGAGGTTGAGAAACACTGGTGTAGACTCATGCTACAAAGTTATATGCTTTTAACTCTGAGAAAGCCCGATTCAGTGGGACTCTATTTCTGAGCGGAAATTAAGAGGAAGAAGGTGCTGCTGGGGCAGAAACTGATTGTGGACAAGGCCTCTGTGTCCCTTTCTCCAGGAAGAAGTGCTGTGATAGGCTTTTTCTCTGAGTGCTTATTGCATTATAATTAGCAGAGTAAGCAACTTGAAATCCTTCAGTAGTTCTGAGCCTCAGTATCCATTGGCCAGTGACAGGGAATTATGAGTTGCAATCCAAAACTTCTAGAAAACACCAGATTGTCTATCTCTGTAATTAGCATGCAGAATATATCTTGCAATTCTTGGAGTTCTCCAAACCTGGGGTTGCAGACATTTCTTTACCTTATTAAGCAACATTATCCATGCAGACATTTTGGACAACTGAGTCCTGTTGCTTGTCCAGAGATATATACCTTTCTGTCTTGCCTGCTTTGCACATGCTTGGGTGGGATCTTGTCTTCTGTCAAATCAAACTTCGGTCCATCCTGATCAATCTTTGGCAACTTGATACCTTCCATATTTGTCAGACTTCAGGTTCCATAATTCCAGGCCATCTTGACTGGGGATTATGGAAGTTAGTCTGATATAGGCCAAAGTCTGATCTAGCTCAAGGTATCCTTGAACCAGGCAAGTTTGAGGGCAAATTTTCATGCCTTCAAAACAGGTGCCTTCTTGTTAAATCGCAGAGAGAAGGGCCAAAATGGTAACGCAGTGGAACCTGCAGCTTTCCTAACCCTAAACTATTGGATCCTAGCTCCCATCAGTCCTAGCTAGTATGGTCAAGGATGCTGAGAGTTGTAGTCCAACAAAAATCTGGAGAGCCCCAAGTTCGGTACCCTTGGATTGAAGTGTTACATTAAGTTTTAAAAACCCTAAGTTTCATGCCCTCCATTAGTGACATAATCCATGGAAGAACAGAGGAATCACCATAATCTTAGTAATCTTAGCCTGTCTTGTCAGGTAGAGTTAGAGTAAATACCTCATCAAGATATATATTACCAGGTATTCCTTGATAGGACGAAGTAATAAACCCTTGACATCAGTATCTGTTTGCTCTTCTCTTCCCCCAGTGGGCGAGTTTGTGAGTGAAGCACTTCTTGTACCAGACAAGTGCAAATTCCTACACCAAGAGAAAATGGACTCATGTGAGACTTACTTGTACTGGCATAGTGTGGCTAAAGAGGTGAGTAGCTGTGGGCTTCCTATCAAACACATTCCAGCATTTGTACTTGAGAAAGTTTCCATGGAAGTTGAAAGGGCTTGCAAGGGGTTTTAAGAGATGAGGAGATTTGATCAAGATCACATTGAACTGTTGAACCCTTCTTCCAAGTATGGGTTGATAAGGGACTGTGCTTTGCTTTCTTATTGAAGCCTCCAGGAAGATGTCATGAGGGGATAAGCAAGTTTCTTTGGTAATCATGTCACAACATAGCAGAAACCACAGGATGTTATGTTAACAGTGGGATCCCCTTTCTGAAAACATTGGCTGGATGTTGGTTTATTTTTTTAAAGGATGCTGTGCAGATGTGGTGAAACACCCAAATTGCAGATGGCTAGCATCTTGTACTAGAACTGGCTGAGGAATCCTGGGAGTTGAAGTCCACCCGTCTTAAAGTGGAAAAGGTTGAGAAACACAGTTCTAGTACAAGGGAGGAACAGCATGGAGCTTCCCACAGTCCTTAAATCCTAGTCCTACCCACTGCTATAAGTCCTACCCATCTGCAATTTGGGTGTTTCACCACATCTGCATAGCATCCTTTAAAAAAAAAACCAACACCCAGCCAATGTTTTCAAAAAGGGGATCCCTCTGTTAGCATAACATTCTGTGGTTTCTGCTATGTTGTGACATGATTATCAAAGAAACTTGCTTATCCCCCCATGACATCTTCCTGGAGGCTTTAATAAGAAAGAATAGCACAGTCCCTCATCAACCCACACTTGGAGGAAGGGTTCAACAGTTCAATGTGATCTTGATCAAATCTCCTCACCTCTTAAGATGGGTGGACTTCAACTCCCAGAATTCCTCAGCCAGCATGCTGGCTGAGGAATTCTGGGAGTTGGTCCACCCATCTTAAAGTTGAGGAGGTTGAGAGACCCCACACTAGAAGTTCTAGAGCAATATGTAAGGTATCCTGTGCAGTGGAAGAAAGAAGTGGTATGAATGTCCTTACTTCACCAAATGCTTATAGAATGCTGAATTACTGTGATGCAGACTTTCTAAGTTTTATTTGCTCTTTTTTAATGTAGAGCACATCCAAGTTGAGGTCTGTGAGCTGGTTGTATTCTGACATAAACTGATGCTTGGTGCTGTGTCTGTGCCAATTTATAATCTGTGTGTGTGTGTAAATGTGCACAACTCCATTTTCAATGTAGACAGGTAAAAGGCCAGTTTGGATTATCATGCATAGCTTTATGAATCATGGTTTATGAAGCCAGGATTAACTCCATGAAGACCACTCCGCCTTTCCTCTCATTTCCTCTTTCCTCCATCCCTGTTGTATTGTTCTGGCTTATTAGCTAATATGAACCCAGAATTCCACATTTCAGGTATAATGGAGAACTCTGGCATAATACAAGTTAAGATCTCTGCATCCAAACTGCTGCTCAAAGGAAAGGAGACATGAAGAAAGAGTGTTTGCACCTAATACTGAATGATTGTCTGAACCAAGCCATCACCTAAATCAGTGTTCACCCAGATCAAGTCATTTTTAGTTGTGGTTAAACTTAGCTGTAGTTAAGCTGTGGCATGATTGCCTAAACCAAGGCAGTTCTCCCAGCACACACTGTGTTAAGTGAACTGTAGTTTTCTCACCCCAGTTATCTGAGTTCACATGATAAACTCAACTATATGGCCGAGGTTTGCATGGCACTCTAGTAAGTTCAGCATGTTGTGTGAAACAGTCTCTGGGTGTTGCATCGCACCATTTTGATTTTGTTCATATCCACCTTTCAGGCCTGCAGTGGTGAGCATCTTGAACTACACAGTTATGGCATGCTACTGCCTTGCGGGGCTGACCGTTTCCGGGGCGTGGAGTATGTATGCTGCCCCTCACGCCCTCCAGCCATCAGGATGGAACAAGCTACAGAGGCACCCCAGGTGGTTGCCCATTTAAGGGAGGAAACCCTGCACAGGTGAGCAGATGAGTTTGAGCACATCCAGCTGCATAGGAAGGTGATTAATATCTATGCCAATGTTTCTCAACCTTGGCAACTTGAAGATGTGTGGACTTCATCTTCCAGAATTTCCCAGCCAGCATGTTGAAGTCCACACAGCTTAAAAGTTGCCAAAGTTGAGAAACACTGAACTACACTATATAAGGCTCATTTAATCTAGGATGTTTCTGGATCTGGAGCTTAAAGGAAAAGTCCGCAAGGACCTGTTTAGTTATGGGGGGGTGTATACATGTGTGTGTATACACATACACAATTTATCTCTTTATTAGTGCAAAATCGAAGGTACTGCTCCTACAGTTTTATATAGTTGAATAGGAATATTTGCCTTTTCCCATGGGAAAAGTGTCTCCAGTTCCTTTCCTCTGGTCTTCAATTGCACCTGCTTGCTTGGTGGACCTGTTTGGGATCTTAACTTGATGGATCTTTTCTCCAGCAACAAAGTACCAACAGGACGTATTCCAACAGAGGAAGAAAGCTTGGAATTGGAGGAAGACAGGAATATTGATGAAGAAGAAGAAGAGGAGGTGGAGGAGGAGGAAGAAGAGGAGGAGGAGGAGGAAGAAGAAGAAGAAGAAGAAGAAGAGGAAGAGATTCCTGGAGAGAGTGCTCCTGATCCTAACCACTTCCGTGCTGCCTGGGATGACTATTATGTGGAACCAGGATACCATGATGACAGCATCACTCAGACCACCATCACTACTACGACTCAGACCACAGAAGAAGATGTCAAAGGTAAGCAGTGGAGGGAAAGACCCATGTTAGGAGTCACCTCATAGAGCACCTTCCAAGTTCCATGTTCTTTCTTGCTCTTCTTTACTATCTCAGTCTCCCAAGTGAGGAGACCATATCAATGAAGTCTTCTACTGCTTCTCTGGATGTCCACACAGTTAGATCCAATGTGTAAACAGGGGCAACATCATTTTCTAAAACCTTTTTTAGAAAGGCTCTGGCCTTTTTGGCCTCTGAAGCCACATTGGTCTTGCCGGTTGTTTCATGACATCCCCAGAATACACAAGATAAAAAAGATTTTTTTAAAAAGTTTGGCCTTTGAGGTTGTTTTGACAGAGTTGAGGATAAATGTCTCCCTAAACAAAAAAAGGTGAGTGCTCTGGGGCTGCAAAACGGGCCTGGGGGTGGTATCTGAAGGCCATAGACAATGGTTATAAATCTATGGATTATGGCTAGAAAAAGAGGACTACTGTATGAAGACTGTCAATGACGAGGTGGCTTCTTCTCAAGGACTTCCCAGAACTCTGAGCCAATGGCAGCTATGGCAAAGTCAGTGCTCGGGGCAGATCAAAAGGGAGAGAAATATAGACTCTGTGTTGCACAGTAGGGACTGCTGGTGCGTGGAAAGTGGAGAGGCAGAACGCCAGCTACTACGAGGTTGAGAAGGAAGGAAATGCTCAGCTGTTCAGTTGCTTCTCTCAGTCCCCATCACCTCCTCCTCTTCACAATGGGGAGTCTGTTTTGGAGACAGCTCTGAACCTGGCTCTCCCTGACACTAAGGAGTAGATGCTGAGAACCAAAGCATCCTTTAGGGTGGGAAATGAGGGGGCTCTTGTGCTCCCATCTGTCCTGAACCAAGTCACTGAGGGATGCTGTGCCCAAACGGATTTGTGTGCATGAATTATTTTAGATATTAGAGATAGGTGATTTCTGCAAGGTCAGGCTATATTAACAGGGGAAGCAATTGTGTGCTCTTTGAGTGTTTTGGAATGCAAGTCCTTCGATGTCAGGCTGCTACAGAAATTAGGACGAACATGGATAGTAATTGTATCTTTATTATATTCCAGGAAGAGTAGCGGTTGCAGTTGAATTTCTGAGCAAGTGAGAATACTGTAGTAATTAAGAATTTACAGAGTCAGATCTCAAACCTTTCACTCAACTCTTGCAATGCCACCCTCTTTCAAGGAGAAATTTGGATTGCCTCTTATATCTAGCCCTCATCAGGTCTGTTGATAATGGATGCTTGTCTACATTCTCTGCATTCCTACTCTCCCATTCAGATAAGTCCACCAAGTTAAGCTGGATTCACCTACTAACTGAGCCCTGGCACATAGTGCTTCCCATTGGGCCATGCTGGCTGGAACCAAAAGTTGTCGTCCTCCAAAAGATTTAAAAAGGCAACAGCTTACCTTATCTCTGCTTTAAGACAGATAAGAAGGCCTAGTCCTGTGTAACACGATTCCTGTTTATATAGTGACCCCAACCCCCCGCCCAACCGATGGGGTGGATGTTTATTTTGAAATGCCTGGAGATGGGAATGAGCACGCCAACTTCCTGCGAGCCAAGATGGACCTGGAGGAGCGTCGCATGAAACAGATCAATGAGGTAATGACTGGACAGACAGGAAGGACAATTTGCTCAGCTTGCAGATATGTGAGCTTTAATTGTATGGTTAGCTCAGTTTTGTGATTTTTGACACACCATGTGACCATCAAAGGATTTCTCTTGACAGAATGCACCCCTACAATGATGGGGAGGGGTCTAATTCCATTAGAAAAGATGGATGAACAATATAGATCATACAGATTTGTTGGAGCCAGGTTGAAGTTTCCTTCCTTCCTTCCTTCCTTCCTTCCTTCCTTCCTTCCTTCCTTCCTTCCTTCCTTCCTTCCTTCCTTCCTTCCTTCCTTCCTTCCTTTCTCTCGTGCACTCAAGGTTGAACATAACTTGTGTGATTTTCTGTTGTTTCCTAAAGAATGATTCCATTGAGGAAGAGTACATGTTTTGTACATCAGGCATCAGTTACTATTGAACTTAAAGTTCAAATCAGAAGATATCAATGTAGGACCAGTATTACAAAATAACAGGGTCAGCAGTGAAGTTGAGGTTATGGGTTTTCCATTCTCTGGAGGTTTTTAAGAAGAGGGTGGATGGTCATCTCTTGAGGATGGTTTATTTGGTTTTCCTGCACATCATAGAGAGTTGGACAGATGATTTCCTCCACAGTTCTATAAGTCTGTGACTCAGGAAGACAACTTCCTATTCCTTGCTCAGACAGATATTTCTTTCTAGCTTTGAGAGATTGGGAGTCAGGATCTGATGGCCTAGTAACATTAGATCATCATGCAGATTGGTAATCAACTTGCAACAAGGAGAGGATTGGGCTCAATGGTTAGAGCTGAATCTCGAGAGCATGTCTTGGGCATGCCCCCAAATGGCTGCCATGGCATGACAATGAGAGAGCTAGGCATCTTTCTTTGCAACACAAGTTCCCATTTAATTGTTTTCTTTAAAAAAATGAAAAGGATCTTTGCAAAGCAAAGTTGGCAAAGCAGATTTTGCTAAAGCCAAATAGCTTAGATAGCTATTTAGGTAGCTACTTAGGGAGTAGGGCATACAATGGTAGAAAGCAGTAGAGAAACGCTGTTTCCCTTAAGCATTTACACACTTCACTCTGTGCACTTTGTGTGGGTATGACATTTTCAAGGAGTGTTGGGGTGATAGCTGAAAATTTGGGAATTGGAATCCTAACGTCTCTCGAGCTTGCCAGTTTTGGGAAAGCTAGTATAACATCTGCCCTATAAAGTGTGTGCTTCCAAGACTCAAATATAAGATTACTTGAGTCAGAGGGAGGCAGCCAAAACTGCTTTTCCAGAGGCAGGTTTCTACAGCAGAAGGGGAAGACCCTCATAGTGGCAACATCATGGGCTTTTTGTTACGATTTCACAGGTGATGAAGGAATGGGCTGAAGCCGACAACGAAGCCAAGAACTTGCCTAAAACAGACCGACAAGCACTGAATGAGGTGAGGTTGGCCAAGAATTGCAGTGAAATCCATGTCAAGATTTGGTGGTCCAATAAGATTGGTCAGTGGATTCCTCACTTATGGGATTCTTTACCCAGTGTGATACAGTTGTCCTTTCCATTCAGGTGTTAGAATTAGCTTTAAATTCCCCTGGGTTACATTTTGATTTTTGCATGGTTTACAATGCAAGTTAGCCTCTGGAAATTGTTTTAAATGTTTTAGCTGAGCTGGAATGACAAGGATCCTCTGTTTCCTTCATCTGTTGTTTGATTCTATTCTGTGTTTATAATAGTTGCATTCTTTTTTTTTATTGGAAAACAACTCGAATGGGTTTCTACTCTGAAAAAAGGCCCAAACATGTTTCACCAAAAACAAAACAGAATTTGAATCAACCACATTGCCTCGTATCTGTTTCTTTTGGCCTGTCTGCGAGCAGACGTTGTGGCCTATCTTCAGTGCATATCCATTGATAGCTGCCAATTTCTAACCATTGATTTTTTTTTTTTTTAAAGCATACTTTATAAGAAGCCTCCAAATATCTTGGGACTACCTCCCTTAC